TGGGTCAAGGAGTTACACAATGTGCTTTGGGGATATCGAACAACCGCTTATTCGTCCACCGAGAGACTCCTTTTTGACTAGCTTGCAGGATGGAGGCCGTCATCCCCGTAGAGATCTAGGAACCCTCCAGGCGAACCGAGGAACCTCCTGATGAGGAGATGAACGACGCCACCCTCCGTGAACAACTGGATCTGGTGGAAGAAATCAGAACAGGAGCGGCCCTACGAGAGGCCTCGCTCAAACAAAAAATAGCCATGCGCTACGACGCCAAGGTCATATGGAGAGATTTCGAGGTCAGAAGCCTTGTCTTGAAGAGAAATTGCAAAGAATATCGCGAGGGTAAGCTCACAGCGAACTAGGAAGGCCCTTATCGCGTCTACGCGAAAATGGGGACTGGAGCGTATTACTTAGAAAACTTACAAGGGGAACAGCTCGTTCAATCATGGAACACTGAAAATATAAAATAATATTATAGTTAGAAACACTGAGCGGTCGGTGATTTTGGTCGACAAGACAAACTCACCCAGGCCTGACCATGCCTGCATGCCTAGGAACGAGCATAGCATCCAAAGTATTCATAAGGGGTGAGGCTCCATTATGTTGACGAGCGCACCCTTTGCCCGACGTGAATAACTGGACCGAGCTCCATAGTTTTTGTGCCACGACGGTAGAACGCCCTATTCGCGATAGGAAGTTCATGTTGTTGAACCCGGGTCCCCTCAAAATGAGACCTGAGTTCCGGCCCTCGCCCGGTATTCACCCTGGTCGTTTGATCAGTTTCCCTACACCGACGAACATACAAAATGAGCACATCCCTGCTATAAACTCTTAGAAAAAAAGAAAAAAAACGTCCTAAATGGGCTAGTTTGCCAACAAACATGTAAAAAACACAAGTTAAATATTCATAGCAAACGACCAATGGCCAAAAATTAAATAAAACGACCACTTGGGCCGATATTGTGTGAAAATATTACATAAACGGACAATAGTCCAGAGAAACAAATACAGCAAAGACGGCACGCAGGCCAAAATACACATAACAATCATCCTTCCGCTTCCCTTTCAATGAAAGGCGATAGTTGGGCAGGATCTCCGGCCGGTTAAGCGACAATATCCTTGAGATAATCAGGGACCAGAATTTGGCCGGAATCCACATAGTAGTTAACCCCCATTCTCGAGGTGTTGAGCTCGACACCAGGGTTCAACACACGTATCTGATTCACAACATTCTCTAAGCTCCCCTCAGAAGCAGCCTGAGCATCATCCACAACCAACTGGAAACGAGCAATTAGCTCAGCCCGAGTCTTCAGATCCTTAGTATCCTCTGGCTTGTCTTCAGTAGGCGTAATCTCGGCAAAACCAAAAGTCAGTTCTCCCACCGTATTACAGGGGGGTTTAGCTTTAAACTAATATTGTTGATAGTGGAATTCCTTCTTGACTTGGTAGCCCCCAGAGTAGGTGATATTGCACCGAACTGGGTTAATATATCGTTGTGTTATTTATCATTCTACAGTTTAAGTTTCTGTATGTGTTTAACTTGATGAATTTGTTCAGGATGTCATATCAGATATTATAACATTTGTCTTGACATTGTTCTGTTGTTGGAATTTTAGTATCTCCATGTGTTGCATGTACCAGAAGAATTCCAGATTTATTATTCATATGTAAGATCTTATAATTATCACATGTTTACCATCACAGACGCGTATGAAAATTGGCCAACCACCAATTGTCATTTGGATCAATTGATACTCGCATGGACAAACATACACACAACTAGAAAATTATTTAACATTTTTCATAAGCAATTTCCATAAAAGTGTCACTTTGGCGACTTTTTTGTTTTAATCACTCGCTCAAAAGGTTAAATTACACTATAAAAATTATAATTCGTAGTCAAATTTGAACAAAAATATCAAAATTAACGGATAACTCAACTAAGAGACTTTGTCGTGCAAACCAGTATGACTCGCTCGTGTTCTAATCCCTGTCCAATTTATTGTGCGAAGTACAACGTAACTCCATAATTCTAAATTTTACAAAAACCAAAAATTTAATTAAAAAAATTTAATTAAAAAAAAATATTAAATTAATATATAAAAAAAAATTGTTAAACAAGTAGATAACTTGTTACTGTTGACACTATAAATAACAAGGTGAACTTGTTTTGTAGTTGTTACGTACTAATGTCATTATATATATCTCAAAGTATCAACCTACTTTCAATTACAATTGCCATTAACTAAAAAAAATCTCAACAAATGTCAGATCACTTCATCAAATGAATCTTAAATAGTTATACATAACATTAGTTACACATCCATAAATTTGGCTCATATAGAAAAACATAAGCTATACACAACATAGCCATACATCAAACATTAGTCACTTAGCATAGCAAAATTTATACAATAAATTGTAACCTTTTATGAGAAAAAAATAAATAAATTATAGTATTCAAATTAATGAGGAATATATATCAATCAATAATCATCAATGTTTTTCATTAAAACATGAACAATGATGTCAGCGTACCGTGAAGAAGAAGAACAAGTATATGATATTAATATTAAATATTCCTTTTTACCTTTTGAAACCTTATAATTAATATCCGGTAGCACACAACAATCCTCAATTTTCTTAACTCAATTATCGCTAATAGACTATTATATTAAAGAGCAATTATTGCTATGCTAAATTATAAAACAAATATGGACAGGACAATTTTGCAACTCTTTTACAATTTAGTTAGTCAATTTTCAAACAAAAAGACAATATATTATTTAAAGGTGTGATATAAGTATTCGTTAACCACAACATAAAAATTGTGTAAACTTAAAAAATCTCAAATATAAACTTTCTAACTATCATCATTTCAACTGAAATCTAATGATAATTATCGGTATTAAAAAAAATATAAATATAAATCTTATAAGAATTGAAAGATAAAAAAACTTAATTTTCAGAATTCTTATATCAAAAATTTCAAAATCACGTGATAAATCACAACATATTGATTTATACAATTGAAAGATAATCCTAAAATCAAATTGAATGAGATATGGGTAGCTCTGGTACCACATGTTAGATTTGTTCATAAATCTTATAATTTCCATCAATATAGAAATCAAGAACAGAACTCTAAATAAAATCTTTAAACCTACTATATCTGAATACAATTATGAGAATGAAAGTGGAAACATACTTGAATTTGTCATTGAGAATCTTTGAAGATTTACAGGTATGTGATCTTTCAATTTGTAGAGTTCCTTATGGCTCATTGATTCTCCTCTAATGAAGATGAAGAGATAATGTCCGATAAGTCGTTTTGTGTTGTCTACAAATGGGAACCATAACCTCTATAAGTAACTTTAAGATTATTTCTTAGTTTTCAATATTCTAATTTGTCCCCTCATTAAATTAGATATTGACTTATGGTATCTACACAATAACCTAATCTTTCATGACATTTATACTTTTAGCCACAGACTTATTATTAATTAGACCACTATAACTTTGGTTAATTACATAATGGCACTAACACATGTAATATTGTATTTATGACCCGGAAATTCTAACACGAGTTTGATGTTTGAGATGGAGTTCAAGACTATGAGACACTCTTGTTGAATCAGAATTATACTTGCTATACAAAAATTCAAGTTGTAACCACCTTTATTTATGCACAATTACATAAATGTTTGACGTTACTTCGTAAATACTTTTTTAAATTCAAGTAGAAAATTGTTGAAACATGTTAAAAATTATGGAGATAGATTTGAAAGAAAAAAAACAGTTAAGCCCAACATTATTAAAAATTATGTGTATTTGTATGTTAATTGAGAAAATTCTATGTCGCACATTGTTTAACTTACTCGCTAAAGTTAGTTTTCAACATTATACATATAAAAAAAATTTAAGCCTCATACTTAAATTATATATCTTGATTAACTTATTTTATTATATATAAGAAACACACATGTTTCATTCTAAAACACTCTAAAAATTATTAAATTATTAAATTTTCTCTTCATTACTCTCTTTATTCTGCATTCTCGAATTATCGAAACGTTACTTTCTTTTCTTTCTACTTATTGAATCTTTGAGTATTTCTTAAATTCTCTTTAAAAAATTATTTAAATTTCTCACCATTTGAGAATCTAATTGAGATGATCTATTATTAAATTCTCTTTGAGAAACTACTATTTAATTTTTAAGAAACTACTAACCATTTGAGAATTTAATTGAGATGATCTATTATTAAAACCTCTTTGAGAAACTACTATTTAATTTTTAAGAAACTACTATTTAATTTTCTCCTCATTCGATAAATTATTGAGAATTTTGAATTTATCTTCAATCAGAAAATTATTTAAAGTGATCAAACAATCATCGTTCATTTTTTAAAAAACATTATTCAAATTTCTCCTACTTCAGTGTATTTTTATACCGATCACCTACTAAGCAATAGTAATTGAAATAGTTAAGAACAAGGTTGTTTTATTTTGTGGCATATTTTCAAAACCAAAAAACTCCAGCTGAGTTTAAAGGATGATATGTTAGGATCACATTAATATTGCAAAGGATTTGTAATATGCTTGTCCCTTAATATTAAGCCTATAAAGACATTTAGTAGATGAGTAAGAGTGATAAACATTGGTGTGTTGAGTTCCTCCAAACAAATTAAGCGTGAGAGGATTCATTCCCACTCTACATGCTCTTATTACATTAACAGTTAACAAAAACATAAAATAGAGCCATATAATTTATGTATAACTTCTTTGCACCTGAACTTCCATGATTTTTATTGGTTACTAGGAATAGAACTTCCCAAATCAATGAATATTTTTCTTCTACCTCCCCATAATTCACACAGTAAATGAAAAGAAAATAAACATAAACAGAGGTCAGGAGAAAGCCTGGCCTTTAAATAGAATGAGACCCGTCTATTACTAGACATGGGAGATATGAAAAGTCGGTGTCGAATGCACGTGTAAAACCTAGAGCTTCTTAATGGAAATAGTCCAAAGAAGATCTGAATCAGACTGTACTGTTACTATATCCTCTTTTACAATATTTGATGTGCTTACTAAACCACCAAATCTCATCTCCGTGTTATCTGAAATTGTCAAAATAGATTGTTAATCATCAGACTACATTGCCAAATAAGATCACATCTTGATGATTGAGAACGAAATTAAAGATAATGATTCAGCAAAGCATCGTGTATATACTGTCATGTGCAATACTTACTCGTCCATAGCATTATTATTGAACAAAATATGCAATACTTACTGAGGTCCCACTTGAGTCCGGTGGTTGTAGAACTTCCTGATGGCGTCCCGATGGGAACGAGTCCACAATGTGGACCCTCAATAGAAGATTGAATAAAGATCTTATGTGAGTGGTTCTTTGGAAGAAGATGAATGAGGCAATCATCAGATAGAAGGATAATACGTGTGTTGGAGAATCGACAGAGCACATTAATATTTCCCATCTCGTGATCAAATCTCCCGCCAAGTGCTCCAGTAGCGAGAATACATAGCTGCCAGATAAGGGCAGCCGAGATTAATTCCAAAAGGTAAAACAAAATACACAGCATAATAGTAATTCTTTACAATCAAGCACGGTTAAGGGATCATTCTACACAAGATTCAATTCATTTCATTTCATTTATCCAAAAACTATTTAAGCCTAGAATTGACATTGATATCAGTTCATTCCCACGTCTCCTCCTTGCAAAAGACTAACAAAGTATCACCAGATATTTAACTTACTTCTGATTTATCAGTATTTGGTACAAGGTCACGTATGTATGCAACACATTTGTGTAAATCTGTGGTGTCCTGATCTTGAGACTCATCAATTATCTTTGTTCCCTGCAGGAAGCAAAAGAGTATAAGACCCTCAACATGATTTATGGAAGGAAGACTATATACCAGCAGTAACATAAGAACTTAATAATAATGGCAATTTGGTGTGAACCAGAAAGTTGAGTTCTGAAATTTTTTTCTCCATTAAATGAAGATTGGCAAACAAAAAATGACAAAAAAATACAGAAAGAGAGGGATACCAGGTTTGCATAGAAATCAAGCACTTCTGTCCTGATTGAATCCATGTCTCCTTTGATTGCATCAGGCTTGTACCTGATAGAAACCTTGAAAGTTAGAGAATAGAATAGCTGTAACTGACTAACTGTAGACTCAAAATGACAAATCAAGCTCTCTTAAGTCACCAACAGAAACAAAAACAAGTATTGGCAGTAGCTCAGCAAAACAACCAATGTTCTTTTAGTCCAACCCAATCCTCCAACAAATGAACTTCAAAAGTGGGAATAAAGTTGATTTGGAGAGCTTATTCCAATGCCATCAATCCCAAAAGCAATAATGTAATGTATAAAGAAGTTTGTTGTGAGAAAAGTTAAACCAGCTCATTGAAAACTATGATTGACTACTGATCAGTGATTTTTACACAGTCATTTACCATTGTTTTATGTTATCCTTTCTTTTTATCGTCGCGTGTTTTATTTCATTTTACCACTTTTTATGCGTTGGTTGTGTGTTTTACTGTTTTCAGGTTCAAATGAATAAATCGGGGCAAAACAGTGCAAAACTCAGAGTTTCTGAAGAAATGCAAAAATCAACTTTCAGGAGGCCTAACACGGGTGGCCGCGTTGCTTGACACAGGCCGTGTCAGGAGGTACCTTGGGCGCGTTGGAAAAATATTGGAAGTCAGGGGTGCAACACGGGCGACCGTGTTGCCCAACACGGACCGTGTTGCAACCCCTGGGGCTTGAATTGAAGAAGTAATTATTTGAAGGCCAACACGGACGGCAGTGTTGCCCAACACGGACCGTGTTGGCCTGTGACTCTGATTTCTGACTTGAAGGGACTTTGGACTAGAGAAGATTAGGAACGATAAATATTGGTGCTTTCAAGAGATTTGGAGACGGAGATTCCTTCATGAGCGATAGCAATTGAAGATCAAAGAATCCACACCTTTTGTAATGTCTAATTTTATTATTGCTTTTCTTTTTAACACTATAAGAGGCTAATCCCCCCAATGCTAGAGGGTGTCCCTGATTTGCAAATGTAATGATTTTGAATTCTTGATTTTGATACAATAGTTTCTTTTCAACTTAATTGTTCAATGTTCTTATACTTTTCCTATCGGACCAATAGGGATTGATTCACGGTTAACAATTAGGGTTGAACCGTCATTGTTAAGGTTTTTGAACGATTAGACTATAGTAAATATCACCTAGGACTAGGGATACCCTATAGGTTACCGGTAAAATCTTGATAAAATAAATGCTTGATTTCATCATAATTCTTTAAGGACTTGGGTATTAGGATGAAAGACCAAAGGTTTTCCCACTAAAGACTTAGGGGAAAACAAACTAAAGATTAAGTAGTTGAAGGTAATAAATTTGTTGAAGAAATCAAGGTTATTACAGGGGCAAATCACACACTTACCCCTAGCATGCTTCTCATATTAGTGAAAATCCATGAAAAGCCAATTTATATTTTCTACTATTGGTTAAGTGACAATTTTCAAAACCAAAACCCTCGATTAAGTTTTTGTTTAATTGAACGTGAATTGAACTTGATAACTATACGCAGTCCTGGAGATCAATACTTTGGGATTTCCCATTATTACTATATTGGCAAAATAGTACACTTGTTATTTTGACGATCAACTACCACTATACATACACACTATTTTCTACGTATACCGATGAATGAAATACTAACTGCAATTACATTAAAATATAGGAAAAACCAATAACTCTACTCTGACACATGAGAACTGAAAACATAAATAAGCTCTCGTTTCCTTTTGGAAAATATTTTAAGCTTTCATTTTTTAAAATTCGTGTTTAGTTTAAATTACTACCAAGGAGATGGAAGACTCGTGTGATGGAAATTGTGATAAAGAGGATATGAAAGACAAGCTTAAAAGAATACAATTCAGAAACAAGGGAAATATTGTTTCAGACATTTTCAGAATTTCTGAAAAATGTTAAATTTGTTTTGAAAGATTGTAAAATAAAATGGTGAGAAATATATAGGATCTATATTCTGTTACACTTATCAGTTAAAGTAAAAATAAAACAGAAAACATTGGATTTTTAAGTAAACAGACCCTTAGGAAGCATAACACAGTTGCATATCATTAACAAGACAGTAACAAATATACAAATACAGCACATCAGATTGCCACCATGAGCATAAATAAACAAGCACTAAGCACTATAGTATCACAAGTATTAGTAATGTACCGTGTAATGCAAACTATATACATTATCAGTGTAAAGATTGTGTATACTGCTAATCAATCATAATCTCATCATATCATAAAAAATACCTCATAATAATAACTAAAAAGTCGCACATACAATTAATTCTGATTTGTTGACAATATAAAACTTTTGAGCAATGCTATTTCTTACGAGACAATTGTATACGAAAGGCAAGAATCAACGTGGCAAATAAGTGGGTTGGTTAGATAGCAATTAGGGATTGGTAACGTAACATCTGTGGGTGGTTATTAAAGTTGTTCATCAAAACACAATTTGCCACGTCATTTTCTTCACTTTCTTGCCATATGTTCTTTGTAAACTTTAGCATTTTCCTAAACGTTTTCAAGCCACATTGTATCAACATTAAACTCATACAACTAATTTAACATTAATCCTTTTCCGATTCTATTTACCTCTCGAAAACAATGACACGGTTACAGCTATTGATAACATAAGATACCCATCCCCACTACAAATACCTACTAGAGAAGTTTTGCATAAAATAGCAATTTCAAAACCTTCAAGAAATTTATTGAACACAGCAAGAAAAAGCTTATGCATTTTGCAACCCCTTGTGCCTAATTCAATGTATTTAATAGCAGATTGTGGAAAATATCGAATCACCCAAAAACCAATTTCAAAACCTTCAAGAAATTTATTGAACACAGCAAGAAAAAGCTTATGCATTTTGCAACCCCTTGTGCCTAATTCAATGTATTTAATAGCAGATTGTGGAAAATATCGAATCACCCAAAAACCAATATGAGAAATATCGGATATCTTAGCAGGCAAATAGCGGAAACTGCAAAGCGGTTAAAATAAATAATTATATATAAAATAAAACATGTCACACACATATAAAAGCTACTAACATAAACAAATATTAAAAAAGGTTACTAACATTAAACTGAAAATCTCAAGCTCTATCAACCAAGTAGATCAAACTTCAAAATTAAAAATGACTTGAAACTCAAAATTAAATAGTTCAAACTTCAAAATAAGTAATACTAACTAATACCTCTTCTAAGCATAATTAGTGATAAAGATCTAATTGTTCTCCATTTTCGAGACTAACAATCAGAATAGTAGTATGTTAATAATATCCACACACCTCTTCACATTTCCACTTTATTAATACTCTATCTCTTCACATTTTACTTTATTACTGTACACCTCTTCACAAGTCACATTCTACATTTTAAATATTTTTTTAATATGACTTATTATAAAAATGATCATAACAATATTAATTCTGATATCAAATTCAAAACCAATATACCGATATACGGGAAAACGGCTGATATGTTGAGTGTAGCGAAATCGAAATGGAATATCGTCTTTCATATCAGATAGCCAAATTCCAATATAAAAAACCGGTATATCGGCGATATAACCGATATTTAACACTGGCCTAATTAATTTAATTGCAAAAACTCAAATATGTATGTTTAGTTACACTTTTGGAAGAACCATAATGATTCTAAATGTGTAGAATTGATTTTCACATGTTTAGGTATTCTAAACTAGAATTAATTGTATCTCTAGAACTGAATTGAAGAGAAAATGTTAGGATTAAATGGACAGATTTCATATAATTTAGAGATTAATTACTTAGAAGGACTAAATTGAAGAAAAAATGATCAATTAGGGACCACTGAATGGCATAGCCCCAAAAAAGAGAAACACAGAATGGTAAACATAAAGCTAAAACCCAAACTAAAAAGCAAATTTAGTAACCAATCAAAAAGAAAGAAGAAAAAAAAAAGATTCTACCTTGAGCGAACATGTGAAGGATTTAGTTGAGGAAACAAAAGAGGCATTTCATCAAACACTCGGTTGGCACCTCCATCAGCGCAAACTCGTATATGTGCTATAAAAAATCAACAACAATGCATGAACCAATCAATCAATCAATCAAATATAATAATAATATAAAAAAGAGATGAGGGTGCAGGAAGAGTTACCGTGGTCCCAAAGCAGAGGAGTAAATTTGGGAAGATTTTGGTTGAGAACAACAAGAGCGTACGTTAGAGAAACAGAAGAAGAAGAAGATGAAGCTGTGTTTGGATTTTCCGGCGGAAGAAGAAAAGTTGAAGAATGACACATCAACTCCATTTTTTTTTTCTCCTAACCCAAAAACCTCACTGCAATTTGTTGAGCTCTTTATTTATTTATTTATTTATTTGTACTAAGATTCTTATTTTATTTATTTATTTATACTATAGTACTATTAATATTTCTATGAGTAACGTCATCCTAAAAATATTAAAGATGCTAACATTAGTCAATGATAAAGTTTGAATTGTAGCAGCAATTAGTTAGTAGGGTGCTATGAAAGTCTAATAGTACGTTCTAGTTGCGGTAGGTTTGTTGGTAAATTACAAATGTATCCTTTTGCGATAGATTCGCGATGAATCAGCTGGTTTGGTTTCGTGGTCACATCTGCTTCAATCCTAATTCTTTAATATAAAATAAGTTTTTAAATAGTTTTCGGGTCATATCAAAATTTTAGAAAAGGATACATTAGTCTTTTATATTTTCTCTCTTTATAATTTAATAGTTTTTATTTTAATTGTGTATGCAATTAAGTGGTTAAGACTTATATTTTAAAAATATATTAATAAGAAATATGTGTTATTGTACGGATTCTGAATTTACATTACAGATCTATTAAATTATCATTTATAAAGTTTGAATTCATTCTTCAATTAATTAATATTCACCTCGTTATAAATATAAGATAATAATATACACCAAATTTTAAGTATTGATTCGTACTTATTATAAATCGTACAGTCGAATATGTTTAACTTCAATTATATAAAATAGTTGCAAAAGAAATATTTAAAAGATGGATATTAAAATTTAAAAGATAAACATTAAAATGAACGATCTACCTCTAATATCTTATAAATACGTTTACATCTACTTGTGAATAATGATAAGTTAACAAATCTCATTGAATTCAAATAAGTTAATTCTAAAAATTTATTAAACTTATTTTTCTAAACATAAAATGTACAGCTTCTATTAAATTTCAGTTTTAAAACTTTCTTATTATATTCTAAAATAAATCAGTCTAACTATACAAAAATATTTATTAATTCAAAAGTTTGTTTCATTTATCAATCTTTTATGAATTTTCAGTACCACTTTTCATTTCATGACATTTTCTAATAACACGTTTTCTCCTAACCAAATATTATTATACAATAAGCATAGAAGACTACGTACTAAAGATTGGTGATAATTTATAAAGCAATTTTTAATTTATTTATATTAAAAATAATTGTTTTAATACTTCAATTTTTCTACTTTATAAAAGTATTAGTAACTTATCCTCTTTTATAAAAATTATTGTAACTTATTCTTGTTTATGAAATTATTATAATTTTTTTTTCCGTTTATAAGCATCTTAAACCTATGTATCATATTATAAAAATATATGTAATTTATTTTCTTTATACAAATAATTGTATAAATAGTTGAATTTATTACGTTTATAAAATTATTTGTAACTTATATTTTTGTTTATAAAAATATTTGTAATTTAATCAATTTATAAAAATGATTGTATCATTAAAATTTTTATTTTTATTATTAATTTTTTATAATTATCATTTATCATTAAATTTTCATGACTATCATTTAATATTTTTTATCATAATTATAATTATAAAATTAATTTAAAAAGATTCTAATATATTTTAGTTATTTCATAAGTTTTAAAAAATTAAAAAATCTCAATTGATTTTATTTTGTATTATTAACCTTTCTATAAAAAGCTAAATAATTTTAAAACATATTTTATTTCAAATAAAGATTTAAATAATTATAAAATAATTTTTATTCTTATGCTTTTTAGAATGATTAGCTAAATATTTAACTATGGAATAAAAACAAGTTGATATTTTTTAAAAATATGTGATTTTTATTAATATTTCATAAAAATACATGATTTTTTAATATTTTTTAGTAACAAAATATTATTTAAATTATAATAATATTTTATTCAATTTTAAACAAATCACAATTTTGAAATAAAATAAAACAATATTATTTTTATTAATATTTTTTAGTAAAATATAATTTTTTAATATTTATTAATAAGAAACTTATTTTTAAATGAAATTTATTTTAAAATGATACAAAATTTTATATATTTAATTTCTGATTAATCATTACTCATTTTGAAATATTTATTTTAAAGTAAATTTATTTTATCATTTTGAAATAAATCATAAATCATGTGTAATTTATATAATTTTTAATATACTTATAATCACAAATTATAAGTTATATGTTTTCTAACATACTTATAAGTTATAATTATAGTGTACAGTGACAATTAATGAGTGCATTGTGTAGTGTAGATTCAATTGAATACATTGTAAATAGAAAATATATATAATTTCATCTTCCTAGTTTATAATATATTATTTGAATTTTTCAATTATTTATTTTTAATTTATTATAAAACTATTTTTTATTCTAAATTATAAAATCAATTTGATTTTTCTTTAGTATCTTAGTTATTGTTTGAATTGAGAAAATATTTTTCAAATTTTAATCACTTATTAATTTAATTTTTGAATAGATTTATCTATTGAAAAATTATGGTTAATATTGAAGAATAATTGTTTTAATAATACATAAATTTTGCTTTAATATAAATTTATTATTAATAATAAAAAATTACAATATTAAATAATAATATAACATTTAAATGGAATGAGTTTAGAGTCTAAAAAATGTTAGCAATTTATATACACATTTAATAATACTCTTATGGTAGCAATTTATATACACATTTAATAATACTCTTATGGTAGCAATTTATATAAATGAGATCTGAATTTTGAATGGGTTTAAGGTCTCAAAATGTTAGTTTATGAACAATTGGAATTTAAATTTGGATTCACGCTTGGAAATAGTATATGAAATGCCATATTGAAATTTGGAATCACGCTCATCTATTTTATTTTTTGAACAAACTTATGCATCGATTTAAAAATATATAAAAATAGGATAAGTCATAAGTAGTAATAATAACTCAAATAAATGTGCAGAATTTTCAATTTTACAAATTTTAAATTAAATAATAATAATAATAATAATAATAATAATAATAATAATAATAATAATAATAATAATAATAATAATAATAATAATAATAATAATAATAATAATAATAATAATAATAATAATAATAATAATAATAATAATAATAATAATAATAATAATAATAATAATAATAATAATAATAATAATAATAATAATAATAATAATAATAATAATAATAATAATAATAATAATAATACGTTAAGTAATAAATATTGTTTTTTAAATTTAATGATGTCTACAATTTTTTTATTATTAATAAAAATATATGAATTAAATAATTTAAAATGATATTAATTATATTTCTAACAAAATTGTGAAAGAACTGGTATTTGAATTTATTCGCTAGTATTAAATTACTAAATAATAATTTTTTTTTAATATAAATAATATTTTATATATAATTAAAAATTTTTTATTTATTTCATATATATATATTAGGAAGTAAATAAAAAAGTGTTACTCTCAACAATAATAATTTATTAATAATTCCATAGAGAATTATACAATTAAAAAAAATAATTTCATAGAGAAAAAATAAAATATATCATAAATATTTAATTTTCGATTTTAAAAATTTTAAAATGAATGTTTATTATTAACATTGATTATTTTTATTTACAATATTGATATTAATAATATATCATTATTATTGTCACATTATAATTCACAATATCGATATTGATTATTGATAGCATATTGTCACTATACTTAATTAATTACCATATCAGTTAAAAGTTAAATAGAAATAATATAAATACTATTTTTTCTTTTATAAAAATAAGCATTCATATAAATAGAAAAAATAAATTGAAAAAGAAAGCAGAAACAGTTTATATAAAACTGAAAATTCACATTTCGAATTCAAAACTGCAGTGTGATAGTATATTAAAAATTATATTGAAATTTGGAATCACTTCATAAGAATTAATTAATTAATTAATTAATTAATTTATATATATATATATATATATATATATATATATATATATATATATATATATATATATATATATATATATATATATATATATATATATATATATATATATATATATATATATATATATATATATATATATATATATATATATATATATATATATATATATATATATATATATATATATATATATATATATATATATAAAAGAAGTCATAAGTAGTAATAATAACTCAAATAAATGTGTAAAATTTTCAATTTTATAAATTTCTAAATTAAAAATAATAATATTAATATTGATCTAACCTGATCAGACTTGGACCATCACGGTTGACTCCGAGCTGAAGTTTTGAACGAGGTGGGGGTACCTGCAAGGCACTCCGATGCTGAAGTAAGTAAGAGCACGAGCAGGCAATAATATGAGTATGGGTAAAAGAATGAATACCTGACCCTCTGGGAACAGAGGGTATTTATAGCCCCCAGCGCTGGGCCAAGGTTCCTTCATTGGGCCGGGCAGGTTTGGCCCAATGGAGGAACTGCCAGGTTCTACGTGTGTAGTGGGGACCCACACGTGGTCCCCTTCCTGGATGTTCTGCCTGAAGTACGGGCGGACAAGGACGCGGTCTTTTCGGGATCCAGGTGGTGGTGTAGTGGACAGAGTCTGCCCTAGGAGGAGTGTTCGAGCTGAGGTCGAGCGGGATAGCACGAAGTCGAGGATGTCGCACTGGCATAGAGTGTCGGGCACGGCCGTGGCCCTTGGTCGGCGTGATTCCTTGCAAGACCGTTTGGATTGGGCCTTCATCATTGTCTTTGGGCCAGTCCAGAACATGAGCCCCCTAAGTCGTGGTTCCTGTAGTAGGGGCCATGATTTGATCTCAGGTCGACTGCGTCACGGGGTCCCGTTCCCGGCCCAAAGATGTAGTTCTCGCGGCTTGCTCGAGGAGTTTTCCCCGTGTCGGGCCTCTGAGATAATTCCGCTCGAGGGTGCTCGGGGACCGTGCCGCCACCCTACTGACGATAGGGTCATCATTGCCTAGAGGAGCTACATGTC